CTGCTTTAATGTGTATCCTACCACCACATTTGTATCCTACATTACTAAGGCATTATCCCGATTTTTTTCTCGATATGTTAAAAGACATTCAGAATATTTTTAATTAAAAGATTCAAATATCTTGTTTTATGATTTTTAGTCAAATTTCTTATTTTATAATTTTTTTATTTTAAATTTTATAATACAACAATAAATGGCATCCTTCCTTCCATTTTTGCTTTTCACCTTGCATTAGATAATGTAGGATACAAATATGGTGATAGGATACACTGATCGGAAGGACACGCTAAAGCGTCACCCTTGCTAAGCATTGCACCATGCTGAGATGCCCAACGATTTTCTAAGCGTAGCTTATATGTGGTGCAAGACCAAAATTATGGTGAACTCAGTGAGAATCGAACCCTCTACTCAATCATAACTAATCAAACAAGATATGCTTGATAACCATTGCACCACGTCGAGGTGACCATGTCCAAATATTTGTTGATTTTTGATATGTCCAAATATTTGTGTATGTTTTTAACTTTGTAGGAGATCAAGACATTCGGAATGTTTTTATTTTAAATATCTTGTTTTATAATTTTTTAGTGAAAGTTCCTATTTTATAATTCACTTCATCTGGCTAGATCTTGCTAATGTGTATGGTTCAGTTCTGCATAACATGATACAGCTGGCATCAGTCAGTTCATGCTGAGTTTTTCAATGATGAAGTACACTACAGCTGCAGAGGGGAATTGCTATGGGATGTGCCATCTTTCCATTACTGTTTGTAACGGTGATGGAGGTGATCCTGAGAGGGTCTGATGCTAGAGTACTGCTTCCTGCAGAATGAGGTCAAAATCCGGGCATTTATGGATGATTTAAAAATAATTCAAGACGATAGGAAAGTAGCACAGTTGGTTCTGGATAGACTTGAAGAGTTGGTAGGGTGGAGTCAGATGACCTTCCAACCAAAGAAGAGCAGGTCACTGTTTATGAAGGGAGGTTCTGTCATTTATGAAGTGTTTTCCATCACAGATGAAAAGATACCAACAGTGTAGGAGCAAGGTGTGAAGAGTCTTGGGAGATGATATAACTTCCTTGTGACAAATTGTCACCGTGGGATTGAAATCCAGTGACAAGCGGAGGTAGGTCTGCGAAGAATAGACCAATTTGGGCTTCCCGGGAAATTTTAAGTTTGGTGTATACATTTTGGGTTGATGCCGAGACTAATGTGGCCGATGACTATATATGAGGTGGCAGTTGGTCTGATTGATGGCATCTAGGTGCAAGACATTTGAGGTTCTTCATACAGGCAGCATATGATGTGGCAGTATCACTGGCAATTTTGAAGAGATGGGGAGTGCAGGAGTCACCCTCCTGCCAGTTGTGTGGTGCTTATGGAAACCTGTCATCCTGCCCGAAGGCACTACAGAATGGCTGGTACACCTTCAGACATGACTTGGTTCTGGAGCTTCTGGCAAGAGCTGCAAGAAGTGCTAGTATATCCTTGACGGACTGAAGGGTAGCCTTCCTGAAGCAAGGTGTGACTGACACTAGGCAGAAGACCAGGTTGGAGGACTCAAGGACTCGGAGAGTGTTGGTTGATGCTACACTGCCAGAGGAGGTTATTGTGTCTGGACTGAGGCCAGATTTAGTGTTAATTGATAGCGAGAAGCAGCATCTGTTGCTTGGTGATCTGTCAGTGGCATGGGAAGAAGGGATTGAAGAGTCTTGGGAGGTGATATATGAAAGAAAGCTGCTTTGGTATGAGGAACTGATGGCTAAAGTCTGTGAGAGAGGATTCGGCTGTACCCTGGTGCCATCTGAGGTTGGCTGTTGAGGATTTCCTGCTGCTTCCTTAAAGAGATTCCTCAAGTGTGCTAGTAACCAAAAGCCAAATAAGGTGATAAAGACTTGTGGTGAAAAAGCAGTGGAAGGCAGTACATGGAAATTCATATCGAGTTGTATCCAACTAACAATATAGACCAGTTACAACGTAACATCATCCAGCTGTTTCCGGCCCACTGTGTGGAGCGGTACTGAGCTTAATAGGCCAAAACTTTGCTGAAGCACAGTGCTCAGATGAAGATTGCAGCTGGTCTGGAGCACTTGATGTGTACATGTGTTCATCCTTGAGTATAATACAACCCTGTGGTACAGCCATCCCTATGTAAATTTTTTTTAGAAATTGTATCCATTAAAATCACAATGTCATATCCACATAAATTATCTTAATGTTTTGTGATTTAAAATTACAAGTACCAAATCCTTTAAAATTTTCTATTTTTTTTTAATCATTTTGCCCAAAGCAAGACAAAGCTACTAAGATGCAATGGGTTACTGAGCATGAGAGAATATAAGAAAAAGAAAACATTATTAAAGAGTGAGGACAATAATGGCAATATTGCAGATTCCTCTTTGTATTTTATCAAGAACTAGCAGCATGACCTGGTGTTGCCCTTGCTTGATTAAAAAATCGTACAAATCATACAGCAAATCGCTATCACTTAAAATATTTTTGTCCTTTCTTGCCTTTAAAGGAGTGCCTTTTGCCGTGCTGATATTGCTACATGCCTTACTTCTTGCCTATCTCACACAGCGAATTTTTTCTAAGCTCTATACTAAACATTAAATCTGTTATGAAAAAAGAACTAAACAAAATGAACACAAAATGATCAGCTTTAAAAAGGACTGTAATGGAAAAACCGAATGAAAAAGAATGTTAACAACAAATACTTTTTCATACCCAACCCAGTTCTGCGGAATCAGAATCAACGTTGAATTTAAGCAAGCGAATGAGCCAATTGAAGTAAAGTGCCATGCAGATTTAAATTTTTCCCACTTGTGACGAATGCAGCTATCGATTTTTTTTTGCATGCTAGTATGCTAGTTAACATTTGTGTCTGTCAGCTGTTGGCTCTCACGCTGGCCAGTAGAATCTTCCTGCCTATTCATGGCTGCCAGCTATTGGCTCTCACTCTGGCCAGTAGAAAATTGCCGCAAACTACATGAAAACTGCCATAGAAGCATGAAAAAATCGATTATTTCCACTATCGATGGGAGTTGGGAAATGCAATGTTAGTCTTGGCCTTCCCGCTAAATTGGAGCATGTGCATGTAAATTTTAGTGCAAATCCGTCGAAAATTGTGGCCGTGCATTCGTTACACACACACACACACACATCCTGCCTTTTATAGATAGAGATTTCTAGATACATAAAAGTACCAAGCCAGATGTGACAGCAATATTCAATTCATGGACAAATGGTAGACTTATTAATATGTAAGATAGATTCTGGTAATAAAAAAAATTGTCTAGCAGTGAACCAACCTTTCTAGCAATTGATTCAATATAATCTTTCCACTTCATGTCAGTGAAAAATATTAGCCTGAGAAGGCATAAGGAGTTACTCTCCTTGAAGTTAGCATCAGCAATGCTGATGGAAGGTAAAACAGGTTTTCTCATATGATTAAAAGAGAGCCTTTTTGTTTTGGAGGTGTTACAATTAACAAGCCATTTCTTGCCCCAGTTAACAACTGACTGTAGGTCAATTTTGTGATCAACTTCCAATTTGACATTATAGAACTGATCAGATTTACCATTAAGACAAGAGTAAATAGTTGTGTCATTCGCATAGATATTGAGTTGAGATGACATCAGGAAAGTTGTTGATGAAAATTAGGAATAACATAGGACCAAGAATATAGCCCAGGGAGCCAACTGCATCAATGCAAAAAAATCTAGAAGAGTGGCCATTCAAGACCACTTTGATTTTGTGATTTCGTAAAGATTGAATCACATCAAACATTTGTTCAGAAATATAATAATCTTTCAATTTATGAAAAAGATCAACATGCCAAACCCTGTCAAATGCCTTTGAAATATCCAAAGCAACAGTCTAAGCTTTACCATTGTTATCTAAAGCTTGATAGACTCTTTCAGCAATAAACATTGACACATCAGCAGTTGTCCTAAATAAGGGAAAGCCATATTGCTTATCTGAAAGCAGACCCTGCAAAATAAGATGTTTAACCAATTCAGAGATGATTAAAGCCTCTACTACTTTTCCAAAAAGAGGTAAAAGGCTGATAGAAGGATCAGACAGATTGCCTGTGTTCTTACAGACTGGATCTACAGAAGAGGATTTCCAAAAAAGTAGCAAGGGATTTATTGTAGAGTTTAAAAAAAAACTGGAGCCAGTTCAGGAGTACATTTCTTAAAGACTTGCAGGGATACCAACAAGTCCATATGCTTTGTGGGAATCTAGTTTAGAGATAATAGAAACCAGTTCTAAACTGGATACTTTGTGTCAACAAACAGGAATATTTTCAATTTCACAGCATGAATCATCACCTCATTGTTCAAGAAAAGAAACTACAAAAAAGTACATAATTTATACAATAGTTAGGCCTTTGTTGTAACATAAATCTTGTATATTGCTTTTATTAAATATTCTAATCAATTTCAGTGAATTTTCTATCTTTGAGACAAAAGACGTTCAGTTACACTGATTTCCAAAGAACAAATGTTACCAACATATACAAAATAAAAATACCACTTGTAAACAATTGTTACCAACACCTGCTTACTTTGTGTTTTATTATCTATTGTGCTGAGTGGATTTCAAACCTTGCTGTGTTAAATAAGTTTCTTTAAGCTGAGTAAAAATTTCTGAAAACATGTACTTGTTTATAGTACAACTGCCCCTTTTGTCTTAATTTTTGTTCAACATTTCTGGTATTGTGAACAAGAAAATATGGTGTATATTTGTTAAACATTATTTTAAATAACTCTTGTATCAAGTTTTTATTTTAAATTTACATCGCCACTTGACTACACCATTTTTTTATCATTGAAGGAGGAAATGATGAAGAAAAGTTGGAGATTTTGGCAAAGATCTTTTTTAAATGAAGTTAATAAATTATGAGAAATAGGTTGATTTGGTAAGCAGTTTAATGGGTAATTTCTGTTTTATTAAATGTTCTTATTGCTTTTGCTTCTTTTTTTTTTTTAAATAGATAATTAAACAATTTAGAGATGATGAAATGCACCATTATGAAACTGGTCTGGAACACAATGCAGAGCAGGTAAATCTGGAATTCAATAGTTTTTTCTTTTTTCTTTTTCATGATAATATATGCACAAAAACCTATCTGTCCAGTCACTTGATCTAAAAAAGACTACCTAGGGTAATGGCACCTTGGTCCACTGCAAAGTACACCCCTTGGGCCCTTGGACATTTCTATTACTTTTCAAAATTGTTTACAAATTCCTCTTTTGTTATCACCATCAGATGCTTCATCACATTCTCATTAATCTTATCCATGTTGGTCATTGATGGCGTTTGACACAGCAGCTGGTCTTTAGGTTGACCTCTTCAACTATGACCTCTCTTACCCATGTTGTGATTTTTGATCTTAAGAGAGAAGACAAATTATCACTGGGGTATCTCAACCAAGCTAAACCAAGGAGTTGATTACGTGCACACAAAATTGAAAAATAAAATGGACTATGTGATTTTTATATCAAAATAAAAAAAAATATTTACAGTTCTTTTTTTTTTCTTTTCCCAACCCATTCTAATATTTGGCAACAGAACAAAAATTTCGGCTAACTTCTTTAAGGGTGGCCAGACATGACAACTGGATTCATCTTCAAGTACTGTTGTTTGTACTTTCCAGAACGGTACAAGGATTATCATCAGAGTCTTTCTTCTTCAGCAGATAATTATTATTATCATTAGGTTGGCAAAACAGTGTTATGGCAGAAATCTCTTAACTCCCAGTTGCAACTTCACTGCAACTGTGGACTGCAACTAACTTTGACCCCCATGGGCACTTGTATTTATGGGTGTCCCTTCCAACTGGTGTGGTGTGGGTAGGTTTTATGCAAATCTCCTAAAATTCAACTTGTCTCCTTCTTTCGTTTTCTGTTCCACACTTCCAATTTTGCCATTATATGAAGTCAGACTTCCTGACGTCATCTTCTGCCTTTACAATTGCTCATTCTGATTTCACAATTATAATTTTTTCTCAGGGAAATTTTGGCTGATAATTTTCCCAGCAAGACCTTAACCTTTGGCCCCTAAACCTGCCAGCTGTGTTTCGCTGAATAGTAACAATCACATTGTGTAACTTTTCAACCTGTTCTCAATATCCTGGGAAAATGAATCCCTTTCTGAAAAAAAAAATAAAATCATTTTCGTCTTATCTTTTTGTCCGTACGCCATGTTAAATATTGTTACACTGCAAGGCACTTTCCCCTCCCCTTTTATAGGCAGAAGCGCACAAATACATGCTGGAATTTTTTTCCTAGCCAATAAAATAGGCTGGTTTACAGTTTTATATGACACAGTCCCAATCTGTCTTGTTTTGAAGTCAGAATGCTATGTTCATTTGTCTGAACTTGCTTTAGTGTGCTAATTCTGAGCTTGTGAACTTTCTGCCATTACTGTCGATTTGTCTTGCATAAATTGTTGGCTTGATTTATATTCTTTTTACTCTATTCCTTTCTTTTCTTTCTCTTGTTGTTGCTTATTGAAAACTTTGTAATTCTGTTTGTTGGACAGTCTGTTATTTATTTTTGCATTTGACCAGGGCTGCTCACTCTAGCGTACTTATATTTATTGATTTAGATTATTTGGATTTGCATAGGTAACACCAAAAATTTGTATACCTAAGTTATAAATGTATTTTTCATAAAGGAAAAATCCTGTTTGGCACCCCCCCAGCTTCAATTGAAAGCTAAAGGATTAAGTTTTCTAATTCCAGAAAAAAAATACTGTGGAGTATTTCAAATAGAAATTTGAATGATTTTTAGTTAATGCTTCCGAAAAACTAATCGAAACGGCCATTTTTAACTTTTTTAGAGAAATGTAAACAAACTTATTTTTTGGATTTGAAAACCCCACTAAAATAAAACATACATTTCTGAAACGTTACTTTTGTAAAATTAGCAAATTTAAAGTTAAATTAATCTTTTCTGAAACAAATATCACTTACTTATCCCATAAAATTTTCTCGACAAACATTTCTTGACCTCGGAGTCTTGTTATTTTCATGTCTCCATCGATAATTTGATGGCTGAATTTGTTGACAGGTTTAGCATGGTGCATCAAAATTGACATAACGTTTTTTGTTTTTTTTTTATAATAATTTACAATACTATAAAAATTTCTTACATTATTGAGTTACCTCTATTGCTTCCATTATTTAATAGCTAAGATAATGATAAATAATTTTATTAATTATTAATATTACATTAAGTTATTACATTTTTAATTTAATAATTGATAACTAATAAAATTATTATTATATTAATAATTAAAATATCTCACTCAGTTATTAATTGTTTAAATTGATAAATGAGATAATTTTATTATTTCAATTTAATTTTTAATTTAATAACTGAAAGTAAGATAAGGCCTGTATATGTCAAGGGGCTTTCCCCAGGGAGGAGACAAGCCTTGAAACACATGACCTTTTAACCATAATGTCACTTATGAGATATCATACTAAAAAAAAATATAACAATTTGAGACACAAAAAAAATATTCTTAATTATGGTAAAATGTTTTGGTAGCATTATTTGTATTAAGCTTTTAATTTTCACTTAGTAAATATAGTCTTCACTTAAAAACTTAATAACCTACCCCATACTCTGTTTGGAAGAATTTTAAAACACTTTTTAAAATGAAAGAAAAATGAACAATAAAAGAAAAAGGCAAACAATTCTTGTAAAAATTCTTTATTCATTGAAAAAAATTTTTTTCTTCAGATAATAATGTCCTTAATGTATATTATTTATAAAAGAAAATAAAAGCCTATCTAATTTAATAATTAGATAGTATATTGCAGTTTTTATTTTACGATTTGGAGCAGATTTTTAAAAAGTTGGCAGTAGTTGTGAAAAAAAAGTTGATGATTTAATTTCTTCAAGGAGTCCTGCTTATAAGTAATATAAAACAATTTGCGGACTGTTTGAAATTCTAGAAAATTTCATAAAATTAATTTATGTGGGGGGCGGTGGTAACAGATGTAAAAAAAAAAATATTTTTACTAAGATTTTCTAAAAATAAAAAATTTACAAAATAAATTCATTCATTTTTGAATAAGTCCTGAAAGTTTCATTAAAATCAGGCAATTATTTGATTTTTGCAAGAATTTCCAAATTAATGGGTTTTCCCCCTGAAACTGCCAAAAATGGCCATTACTACAAGTAGTACAAAATTAACAAAAAAAAAATGAGATTTTGACCCAAATTTAGAATGTGTTAAAAAGAAAGAAAAATTTTTTAAAAATATTTAAAAAATACTTTGTTCTTTCCTCTTAATAATAACATAAACATTTTAACGATAAAATGTTGTTTTTATTAAGTTTAGGACCTTTTATCATTATGCTATACTGATTTTTTAGCGAATTATTGGAGGTGCCTAGATTTGCATTTTGTTTATTTAGTGTTGTAATCATTATATACATGAAACCTTTCACAGACAACAAGCAACATTGATTTATATTAGTGATATTTTAATTGATTCATGCTAAAGTCAGTTTTTCCCACTTTTGAAAAACATTAACTATAATTGATATATGAATGTTCTACATATGTTATCTTTCAATGATCCTAACTCTTCTGAAAACTTTCAAGTGTTGGTGATCAGGTTCTGTTCTACCTTGTGTTTCAGATATCATAATTAACAACCAATAATCATCCTCCTTATTTCAAGGAACAAGTCACTACCCTTAAAACATTAGTTTTGGGTAGTACAGTCAGATAGCATCCCATTTCCTTCCACTTCTTTAATTTTTTCAGCAGGGCTGAAACCCATTTTAAAATAATGTGTGAAAATTGCCAGAATCTTAATATTTGTATCCGTCCTGAAAACACTTGAAACAAGTTCCAACTGAATATTATTGGTAATGTTGTATCCTACTGGTATTGACATGTCTATCAACACAGCTATCCCTTTTCAACTCACACACCCCTTTCCCCATGCTCTGAGCTCTGTCTCTTCTCCTTTTTTCCTCTCAGATGCTAACTTTGTGAAGTTATACTGCTCGTATGAGTCATCTGGCTTTCTTATCTCTCCTCAGTTGGGGCCAGTGTATTGTCTTGATAGTATTGATTCAGATTTTCCAAAATCTTATTGTAGTGATATGAGAGATTAAGATATCTAGAATACCCAGGCTTTATAATGACATAAAACTGAGTAGTAACATGAAGGACTTAGGACTTCACAACACTTATGATATTGGGATTGACAACAAAGTCTAGTGTGAACCCCTCTATACATTGTGCACCCTAGACAAGATTGCATAATTCCTGCCTGTAGCCATGGTAAAATGTTGTCATTTTTGTCTGAGCACACTGGTTGAATAAAATGTCTATTAGTTACTGTGAATCAGTACTATACTGATTTGGAGAGTTCTAATCATAACTATTAGACAGCCTGTCGACCTTCCTCAATTCTTCTGTCATGCATGTGTTTGTGTGTTCATTCATGTCACTGAAATAAGGGTCGGTCTCTCATGTTTGCTCTATACTTGGGGTAAATGGCTACCAAGTGAAATGCAAGAAATCTTCTTTAATAAAAATGATTAATGAATTCCTAGATAGGTGATATAAAACAACAATTCACAATGCCTAATTTCATTATCTCCATATTCCTATAAATTGACCAGCAGGTTTGTCTCACCTGTCCCATAAATCCAAAATAATGACAACTATAAAAATTGCAGATGATTATCACAGAAAAAGGCACATCTTAATCTAAGGTGATCTTGCTAATTGGCCATATGGTATTTTCTTTATATATTCAGTCTTCCTAGATATCATTCTGTAAAGATAATTGTTTCCTGGATGCTCAACATAAACAAGTTTTACATAAACCAGATGTTTTTTTTTTGTTTCTTTGTTTAAAATAATTTAGATCATTATTTTCTGTGACCACACACATTCTCTACAGATAGCATATTGTAAACAAAACATCTGAATTCTAAGCTCTATAGAACCCTAGGCATTTTGACAACACATTAATCATCTTTTTTTTATTGGCAGAAAGTGGATAAGGTTGCGATCTTGGTTTTGCTCAATTTTACTGAATATTGTCTAGTTAAATCTGGATTCAGTTCTCCTTGAAATTGTTCTTAATTTCATTTTATTATTCTAAAACATAAATTTCAATGCATTTTTTTAAAATTTTCTTCTCAACCATTCAACCTACTCTCCAGAGAATTTTAATAATAATTATCCAATTAGTAATCCCTGCAAATCACCTTCCTATGATTTCATGCAATTAAATGTTTAAACAGAGACAGTGTCCTGTTACAATTGGTATGATATATAATAGTAATAATATAATAGAGTCATAGTGTCATTAGATGTTTACATGAAATATGCTTTGGAGTAAAGGTCTGTAAATAATAAGAATAAAACCATACTATTAATACACCATCAGCTTTATTTTTTATCAGTTACATTTTAAACTGCAAAAACAGCAGTAAGTCGTTCCCTTAGGCATTTTGTTCCTAAAGTTGCCGTGCTGTGGTTTTCTGGGGCAGTGTGATTTTGTTTATCGCTTTTCCTTCTCTGCCTGTTACTCAGTAGTTCTTGGGAGAGCAATTGGTTAGGTATTTTCATCAACCTCAACACAACTATACTATATTTTACAACAGATAACACTAGGTTTATTTATTAACTGCTAATGTGTCATTTCACATCTTTGATCTGTACTTAATTAGCCATAGTTCTAGAGATGATATAATACAACTTACTGATAATTAACATTTACAATAATTATAATATAAATTCTATAAATAAAAATGACTTGATATCAAATGAAGGCAAGAATATAAAAGAATTATTAATAACTAAAAAAAATATATTTTTTTTTGTAATCCTAACCTCTTAAATTGTTTAAATTTTATTTAATATTATTTTAACTTCTCATTATAAAATTTCTATCTGCATCTAAGATTTCTTCCATCAATGATTAAAAAAAAAAATAAATCTACTATTCTGTAAGTAGTTTCATAGGTATAAAAAAAATGAGAGGATTATTTACATATGAATCATAGTATCTGTGATCTGCCAAAAACCAGTGTCATTGTTTTGCTTTCTGCCTCATATCGGTGTAGTGCATTTTAAGTATACATTTATTATATTATTCATTCAAAGTAATCTATGAATAAAGATTGTTTTAAAGATGATTAACATAATGTTTGTGCCTCAGAGAGAAACATGATTTCTTAACCACTTATTTTTATTTAAAGTTTCTTTGAACATATCTCAGTACACAACCTATATGTTGTACATTAAAATACAGCAAGGGATTGTCAGGAGTTAAAGCAAATATTACTGACAGAATCAGGTTTTATATGTATTATGCATTGAAACTGATTTTACTATAAAATATATAACAAATTAGGAAGAAATGGTTTGTCAGTGGTCAGAAATTAATACAAGCATAAACAATAGAATAGAGTCATTTTAAATATTAGAATTTTTTATAACATGTTGATGCATGTTCAAATCCTCACAGTATTTAGTATTGTTGAAATTATGGCTAACATTTTTGTTGAGATTTAAAACCTTTATGTTTTGTTCAATCTTTAAAACCAGTCGATGAAATTTGAATAAGCTGATATGTTTTTTTTTTTTTCAAAAAAATGAAAATCTATTGTCTAAGCTACACACTCTAGTAAAATCAAATGTATTTTGTACCCCTTACCTGTTTGCACTTCTCCTCAAAATTTGTCTTCAATCGGTCAATATATGACAATTTTCAAGGGTATAACAGACGGATTAATGGAAGTCACAGAATTTTAAATATAATTAGATAATGTAAATACATTGCTAATGATTTCGCTATAAAATGCATTGAAAATCAAGAATAAAAGAAATAAGTGCAGTATTACTGACAGTCGGGTTATTACATGCATAATTACCTGTGTATCTCATTTAGAGTTTTTTTAATAAAATCATAAATTAAAATAATAATATAAAAATTTTTTCATTGTCTTTTAATCTCTCTGATTGGAATTCCTTGCAGTCAGATTATTTTTAAAGTAAACATTTCACTTAAATATTTAGAGTTGTAAACAAATGTATTTTAATCATTTTCTTATTTAAAAAAATATTGTCTAATTTTGCTTATAAAAGAAAGGTAACTTGAAAAAGGATTAGTTGCCTTGCTAATTTTTGACAATACAAAACTTGTGCTTTATATATATGTCATTTTTTTTTTTAATTACAGGCACCATTTTACAATACCCTGACCCAAGTGATAAAGATTGGCTGTAAAGGAGCTATTTGGTTATCTGAAAGAATCTAGCTTTGCCAAGAAAAGGGTGTGAGTGTGTCTAAAGTAACTATCTATTTTTCTTTAATCATGTCATGTGTTTTTTCCTTATATGCTTCAACATGTACCTGTTCTTTGTCATTTACTGTCAGTGATATAGGTCTGGGAAAAAAATGAACAAAAAGAAATCTGTGAATCGGTTGAAATGTTACAAATATATGAATATTGTATGATAAATTTGCATTTAATTCTATCAATATAACATTTGAAATCTTCCCTTTTTTTCTGGAAAATAGTTACTTTCTGGACAACCTGTATGTATTGTTATAATGAAATTTTGATTGAAAATAAAATCAGATTTTTTTACTTTCTTTTTGTGTGTTTTTTCTTATTCATCAGAGCCAGAAATGAAGGATAGATATACTATTGCTCTTGCTAATGATAATTAGTACATATACTTTTTACTGATTACATTGTTTATTTACAATATTTATTAGAATGGTAGGCAAGACATTGTCTAATATTCAGTTGACTCAAACTTTATAAAATGGTAAATAATAAGGATTTCCTTATAGCTGGTTCACATATTTTAATATTTTAGTAAATGTTTATAAATTTATGAATAAAAACAAATTGTTTTCATATTTATTTCTTTATAAATTGGTAAATGATAAATATTGCATTGCATTAGTTTTTAGAATGCTGTAAATATAAAATTATTCTTGTAAATAAACAATCTAATAATGTTTAATATTTTTGTTGCAAATTCTCAAAAACAAAAAAGAATGTATAAATTCACTTTCATGTTTAGATTTTATTACACTTCTAACCATCACTTTTTAAAACAATAAACATTGCTGAAAAGTGAAGGTAGTTAAAATAAATGTGGTGCCATGGGAAAGACTGTCCTTTAGGCACTCTGATTCTTTGGCGAGCATGAAGGTCCAGGTTTGCTGAAATTTTTCTGTTTCTTAATACTTTGCTTAGATTTTGAAAGGCATTTTTCACAACTAAAAATCAGAAAATTATAAGATTCTATTGAGCTTTTGGGGAATTATTTGGCAATAAATATAATTATTTTGTAAAGCTGTTTTAAAAATCTTGTAGAAATATTAAAATATACATGTGTATATGAATAGCTCGAATGTAAAACGTGTTAAATGCTATTTTCAAAATTTTTGAGTTAACACTACCAATTTCATCACTCTACCACACATAAAAATCATTTTTTACATATTGTGATATTTTTTTTGCTTTCAAAAATTTGTTTTGTTGCAAAATGGAATAAGTGCCATACTGGATTTACTGCAAAACCTGATATATACAAGATGGATTAAGACAAAGAAAAAACAACCTTAAAGTTGAAAAAAATGGAAATATCAAGTTTCAACCTCCTATTTAAAACAAAACTAAATGTTTAATACTTTTTCAATAAACAATTTATCTACACTAAAAATAAACATTTAAAATGTTCTGTGAGATGCTTCATGATTATAAAATGGGAAATACATTTTTATAGACTAAATTCAATTAAAGAGACTAAGTTACAGTTTAAAGAATTAATTAAAGTTGATAAAGATTTTTAATAATTAATGACATGGTATTGCAGTTTGAACAATATATGGTAGATAATAATTATAATAACGCTTTATAAAAATCACAACAATTTTGCTTACACTGAATTCAAAAGTTAAATGATTTTCAAAATGCAGTATTTCCACTTTATTCTTTTGTTTTTGATATCAATAATTTTATTTTGACTGCAGGGAGTGAGAAAAAATTATAGATATACATTTAAATATTGTGTTATAGTTAAAAATTTTAAGAAATAATGGTTTATTTTATGAAAAACGGTCTGGCATTTTCCATAACTTGTATTATGTTTAAAAATGCAAAATTTACAGTTTTAAAATTTGTGTTGAAAAAAAAAATATCTAAACTCTAACTTGTCAGCTTAAAAACAGATCATACATGAGAGAAAGCATAATAAAACACATTTTTACTAGATTTTTGTCATTTGAAGTCACAGAGATTTTGCTTAATACTATATTTGTGCACTGTTCATATAAGTGACTGCAATGTATTTCAGTCAGTTTGTCCAGTAATCTTAGACATCGAAGGACCACCTTGTGTCACAGAGCAGGTTTCTATACACCATTCCTTAAACTGAATTTTTGTTTTTAAATGTGTGTTTCATAGGTAAAAATTCAGTGGACTTTATTTCCTAATATCATCTTGTATACAACACACATTTCTCCTTGAATCAAAATGAATAATTACGATGGTAACAAGGAACCAATTCTTGTTTCTCTTGTGGGGAGGAAACAGAGTATGACAAAAGAGAATCACAAACGAAGAAAAATGAACAAAATGCAACATTCGGGTGGAGGTAAAATGCTGGCAATTTCTTGTTTGCACACCAAAAATACTTCCAACTTTTGCCATACTGATCAACTGACTACTGACGATCTTCTTAAAAACTTTGAGTCTTTCTATTCTCGGAAAACTAAAATTGAATAGGACAAACCCTTTTGGAGCTTACAACAGTTAAGCAAGTGAAGTGCCACTGCTTTAAAGTTAAAAACAAAGATGCACAGAAGAATCAAGATGTCACCAATGATTACAATTTGTTAGTTAAGGATCATCCAACAAGAATCTGGGTCTGCAAGCCTACCTTTTCTTCTGTTTTAGGTGAGTGTTCTTTTTGCTTATATATTAATTGTATCATTTTTTGTTACTATTGTATTACTGAATTGATGAGAGGATAATACAGTCTAATCAATTAAATGTATTGTTTTAGATGTTGGCAAAGACCGTTAGTCATGTCGCATTTCACTATGGAAAGACTACTGCAACAAGGATGGAACATAGAGGTGATGTTTGAAATGCTGAAGAGAAAGAGGCAATCAGATAACTTATAATTAACCACATTAAAAGTGTTACACATCGCACAAGCCATTATGGAAGAAGAGGAACACCTGGTCAGAAATACCTCCCAAATGACCTGAGTATTAAAAAAATGTATGAACTGTTCAAAGAAAATAGCAGCATCAGCTATTCTTTGTATTATTTAATATTTACTCGGAAATTCAATTTGGAATTTGGACACCCTGCAACTGACACACGTGCTACCTGAAGTATTGACAGTGATGAAGAGTGACAGGTTTTTTTTATGAAGATAATTTGAATTATTCAATAAAATAAACAAATTTTAAATTTAAATAACTTAATTTTATACTATTTCTTTTATTTTAAAAATATTTTCAGAGGAATCACCAGAATTTTCCCATACAGGACAGCTATATTACCCAAAAGATATGTGATGACATGGGGTGAGGCTAGATCAGAAACAGTGCAAATAAAAAAATCATTTGAAAAATTGACATTTTCCCTAATTTTGGGGGTTGTAGTTGAGATATAAAATTAGATGGCGGGGGAGGTTGGTATCCACATCATTTTTGGTGATACGCCTGTGTATGTCTACGCTTTCTTAACACAATTGACTTTTTTAATCAGTGTTTTGTGTTATTTTAAATAGAAACAGTTAATACAGATGTAATGGATATCGGATTTGCAAAAAAAAAAATATGTTTTCAGTTAAAATATGCTTTTACAGTCAAATTCTAGATTTGAAATTTTTGTCTTTTTTTATAGTCAAATGGTGATATATTAATGTTTAAAAAAAGATAAAAGTTGGTCTGATCCAAGCATATGTCTTTTTCTCAGTTTCAAGAAAGTGGATTTATTGCATTCAAGCTCTCCATATGCAAATGAACATATGCACAGAAAATGTATGAAATTGAAATGGACATCTGTGTCAAGAGGGCTGATAGCTTTTGGGTAACAAGAAAAGAGTGTGGCTCTTTCAAGTCATTTTTATGACTCCAGTACTTAAATTGAATATATTTTTAATAAATGTAGTATTTTAAATGAACAATTTAGATTTAAAATTTTATCATCCTGTCATCTGAGAGAGCACTTTGATGAAGTGTATTCGCTAGATTAATTATGACTGAGTAGTGAGTTCACTCCTTACTGAGAGCTTTACACTTTAGACCATGTGCCACATCTAAGCCACATTTAGTAAACTGCCATCTTGTCATCATAAAGGTGACAGGTTCTGAACTAATATGAACCAAAACCATTTATTTTCTTTCACTTTTACTGGAAATCCACTTACAAAAAATGTATTAATTACATAGAAAATATTTTCAATATTAAAATGAAAACATCTTTAAGATAATTTTTGTCTTTTATTAAATAAATATCCAAAATTCAATAATTAGTTAATTTTTGGTAAATTTTAAAAATTGTATAAACACCTTTAATGATTCTTTTTGTTTATACACTTTTCAAAAATATTTCTGGCTTTATAAGCAAATTTCTGGTTTTGTAAACAAATTTTATACCAGAATCTTTTTTGAAAAAAAATGTAACTTTTATGCAAGGTTATTTTTTAGTTGTTGATTTCCCAACTAAATTTTTTGTTGAATGACTGCCATATTGAAACCATCGGATCTACTGGACTAGTTAATCATAATGAGCTTCATTTTGTATCTGCTAATAGTTTTATAGAAATGCCTTTTTGAGAAGGCAGTCTTTAACTATTCTTGCTCTGTCTTGATTTAAATTTTATGTCTAGCAAAGTTAGTAAATGCAGATGATGTGATAAACCGGGATCTGATAAATTATTCAAATTAATTTATGTATAGGAAAAAAAAGGAAGTAACAACAATAATGGCACACACAACACAGAAGACACAGATGGAGAATTATAAAAAGTTTATTGCAAAAAAAAATTGTTACAGTACAAATATTAGTGCAGTGTGTGCTGAAAAAAAATGAAATTTTAGACTAAAACAAGATTGGTGAAATAAGGAAAAATGATCGCAGTTATGCACTTTGTGAAAAATGAAAAACTTTCTTTTCCATTACAAATAACATCAACTTGAGGGGCAGAAACACACTTTCAAAAAACAATATTACCACATAGTTGTAAAAATAAATGGGCAAGTTCCTGAACACATGTAAAC